CGTTGAGAGGCCTGGATAAGGCCGGGTGAGGATGAGGCTGGCCCGCTCCCCCTTTTGGAATTTTACTTGTACAGAGATAACAGAAAAATATATATATTTAGATATGTAATCCTGTTTTTGTCCTTTTTTTAGTTATTTTTATTTTCTTTATATCAGCTGAATATCCAGGTACTCCGATATATTTAATATCTAAGAGAAAAAAATTTCTGTACCAAAAAATTATTTCTTTTTTGTTATTATTCCTTTTGTATTTGAATCAAATATATATTCTATTATAGTTATTTTTTTTGAATGTATATCTCTCAGTACCGGCCGAATCAGTCGAATAACGCCTGAGGCCTAGAGTTGAAGAGGAGGCCTCTGGCAGCCAGCCTCCAGACAATAGAAGAAAAACCGGAGGGGGGGGGGGCTGCAACTTCGCCCCGAAAGGGCTGCGGGAGGCCAACAAGCACTAACCAAGACTAGCCAGGCAGTTCAAAATGGGCAGCTAGGCTTTAACCCTAGGCCTGGAGTTCCAATTCACCGCAGCTGAATATTAGAGAAAAAAAAAAAATTTTTTTGGCGCCCGACCACGAGGCGGAGCCAAAATGGCGGCCGCGAGCTGAACTGCCGGGACACCTTCGGGACGGAAAGGAAAGGAGGGCTTGGCCGGTCAGCTCGGCGCGCCTAGAGCCCTAGGGGCGATAGCCCTCCCGGTCGGCATTTAGGGTGGGGGGGAATCCAGCGAAGGAGCGCGTGCCACGGGCAACGCGAAGGCAGCGACGAGATCTGATAAGGGTGGGGGGGGCGCGTCGCGCTAAAAGCGCTGCGAGCCCGCAACTTCGCCCCGAGGACAGGAAAAAATTTTCCTTGAGTCCGGACCCTTTGCGCAGGAGGAGGAAGGAAGGCAAACCTTATTGGGACGGAGAAATGGAGGATTCAGTGAAAACAGCCAAGGAGCTCTTTGAAACGCAGCCTGATTCTTCGAGGCTGAGCAAAAGACTGGGGAGACGCTGCGCGATGCCACGTGGGAGGGGCGGAGCGTTTCCTCGTCTAAAGCTCAGCCTGAAAGAAGAGGACTCAGAAGCACATCCCACAGTCTGGATGCTCCGAGCGGCTCGAGGGAGAATGTATGAGAAAGAAAAGAATAACATAGCAGAGGAAAACGCAGATATCTATTGTTGTACCTTATAACAATAGAATCAAATTCCTGATTTGGTCTACTTCAAGGGATTGAGATCACATCAGATCAGATCAGATCAACAGAATAGAATAACAGAGTTGTAAGGGACCTTGGAGGTCTTCAGGTCCAACCCTCTGCTTAGGCAGGAAACCCTATACCATTACTGTTCTGACCCAACCGGGTTCCAAGAGAGCAAACACAGACAAAGGCAGTAGCCCCCACCTGTTAAGGTTTAATCACGAATTCTGTTCCTTCACAGATAAAAGGCTGCTTCCAACTAATTAGCTCCGACAAGAAAGAGCCTTGCCAAGTTGTTTGTCAAGGCTGCCAAAAGCCCAGAGATAAGAACTAATTTACAAGATTTTCCAAACACGAACTATGATGTCCATGAGGCTGAGCTTCAGAGCTTCTTTGCCTTCTGCAAAGAACGCTTTTTCAAACCTGGCTTTTATCCTCTTGAGGGAGGGGCCATTACCTTGCAGCCTTACTCCCAAGTCGCCTGTGCTGCTGTAACTGCTCTCTCCTGCGATCAATCTTGCGTGCACATGCACTTGTCACAGGCTCCTCAGGAACCTCCTCATCGCTGCTGCCAGCCCCCACAATCTCCAAAGGGAGCAGTCCACTCCCTAATGGTCCTGGCCCCTCATCTGAGTCCTCGCTCTCCTCCACTGTCCGCACCTGCTGCTGGCTAACCACAACAATTTCAGACAAATGGTTGTCCAATTTCTTCTTAAAAACTTCCGGAAATTTCTCCTTAGTTCCAAGGCTGCTTCTCTCCTTGATTAGTTTCCACCAGTTGCTTCTTCTCCTGCCCTCAGGTGCTTTGTAGAATAGCTTGACTCCCTCTTCTTTGTGGCAGCCCCTCAGATATTGGAACACTGCTATCATGTCTCCCCTTGTCTTTCCTTTCATCAGACTAGACATACCCAGTTCCTGCAACTGTTTTTTATATATTTTAGCCTCCAGTCCCCTAATCATCTTTGTTGCTCTTCTCTGCACTCTTTCTGGAGTCTCAACATCTTTTTTACATGGTGGCGACCACGACTTGATGCAGTATTCCAAGTGTGGTCTTATCAAAGCATTATAAAGCTTTGCTAACACTTTATGTGATCTTGATTCTATCCCTCTGTTAAATGCGGCCTGGAACTGTGTTGGCTTTTCTTGTCAGCTGCAGCACACAACTTTTTAAGCGATTGTCCACTAGGACTTCCAAGATCCCCCTCACAGTTGCCACTATTGTGGGATCAGAATCAGAATGCTGTCCATCCCAAATCATTTAAAGTTGGCTAAAGATTGCCAACCGAGCGGAAATAGGCCCATCCTATCTTCCTGTATGCTTCATGTATGCTTTTTATGCTTCCAGTTTGTGGTCTGACTCCACCAATGTCCTTGGCTCGTTCTTCCGGGTTGAAGGTGGAGAGTTCTTGGACAGACAAGCAAACGGAGAACTTTGGAGAAACCCCTCTCCACTTAGCAGCTCGATACTCTCGCGCAGATGCTGCCCGCAGACTCCTGACAGCTGAAGCCGATGTTAATGCCCGGGACCAATGGGGACGAACTCCCTTGCACAGTGCCATAGCAGCTGATGCTCTGGGCGTGTTCCAGGTCAGAAAAAAGAAAAATTAGGATTAATATAATGTGGAATAGAAAGAAACTTGGTCAGGCTTTCCAGAGTCTGTTGTTTTATATATACAGGTAGTCCTTGACTTAACAATCGGTTAACGACTGTTTGAAATTAAGAGTGGAACCCCCAAAGTGGGGGGGAACCAGGTCATAAGTACCCCCAAAAGGTAGTTCTGAAGGCTGGACTATCCCCCTCTTGAGCACATGGCCACATCTCAGTTGCCTGGCAACTGTCTTGCTTTTACTCGACTGTGATTTACAATGTTTTTGTCAAAAAACTGGCATTTACTTCCAGTTTTATGGCCAAAACACCTCACAGTGACCCATGGGTTCTGTCAAGACTGACTCGCACTTTCACCTACATTTTTGCTCCACTCACAGTGTGACAGTAACGTGTGTGTCTGTGTGTGTGTGTGTGTGTCAGTGTGTGTAATGCAGGGCGGTCAAACTCGATTTCATTGAGGGCCACACTAGGGTTGTGTTTGATCTCGGGGGGGGGGGGGTAGATGTGCGTGACCGGAGTGGGCATAGCCAGTTTGACGTCACTTGTGTCAGGGGGCACCTGTGCTGGCCTGGGTGGGGCTGGGGGATCCTCCTACAGCTCTCTGCCAGAGAAAATGGAGCCAGGGAGGGCAGTGCGCAGAGAAAATGGAGCCAGGGAGGGCAATGCATAAAGAAAATGGAGCCAGGGAGGGCAATGCATAAAGAAAATGGAGGCAGGGAGGGCAGTGTGCAGAGAAAATGGAGCCAGGGAGGGCCGTGTGCGCAGAGAAAATGGAGCCAGGGAGGGCCGTGTGCGCAGAGAAAATGGAGCCAGGAAGGGCTGTGTGCAGGTCGTGAGCTCCATTTTTCCTGGCAGAGGTGAAATGGGACAGTCCTTCGCTATTTCCAGGGCAGCTCTGTGGGCCAGATCTAAGTGCCCTGCAGGCTGCATCTGGCCCACGGGCCGTGAAGAGAATGGTATCCAAGTATCCGTCGGCTTCCGTGAGACATTGCTGGTGTCTCAAGGACGCACCATGCAGATGTCCCAGCGTGACAACTGGTGCTTGGCAACTGGCATGTGTGTATGACAGTTGCAACATGCCACGATCATGTGATCACTCCTTCTGACCTTCCCAGCCAGCTTCTGACAATAACAGAATAACAGAGTTGGAAGGGACCTTGGAGGTCTTGTAGTCTGAACACCCCCCTCCCCCGCTCAAGCAGAAGATTCTACACAAAGTCAATGGGAGAAGCGGGATTTGCTTAATGTCTGCGTGATCCACTTCACCAATGCAGTGATTTGCTTTAACAAGCATGTCAAAAAGGTCACAAAGTTGGGCATAATTCACTTAACAACCGTCTGACTTAACAATGGAAATTCTGCCCCCCCACCCCGCCAATTGCGGTCGTAAGTCAAGGAATACCTGTCCATTGATTTGCCACGTAGAATAAATGCCAAAGCAAATCATTTGCTGAAAAATTTCACTGAGAGATTAGTTCGCCATGGGGCAAGGCCGTTTAGCATTAAACGTCATCTCCCAAACTTTGTATGTTTGCTCTTTGCTCCTGCATCTCCCTGATGGCGAAATGGCCTCCGTCAGATCCTTCTCCGTCAGAGGCAGACAGACCTGGATGCTTCGGCAGATGACGGCACCACCCCTCTCATTCTCGCCACACGGCTCGGGGTCGAAAATATGGTGGAAGAACTGGTGGCCAACCATGCGGACATCCATGCCATAGATAAGAGAGGTGAGGTTCATGGGGGCCTCCAAGATGCTGGCTGAGTTATAAGCTGAGGCAGCGTTAGTGACAAGTCCTCCAGGGAACTGTGGGTGGAAAAGACCAAAGGACTACAATTCTGACTGGAAAAGGGAAATAAACTTGGAAGAAGTACCCTGTTTCTCCAACAATATGGCCTCCCCCAATAGGAAGTCCCAGCATGTTTTATAGGCATGAAATGAAATTAAGCCCTTCCCCCCAAATTAAGGCCTATATTAAAACATGCAAAATGGGGGGGAAATGGCGGGGGGGCTTGCTGTTAGGAAGTACTTTTGTTGCACACCCGGATATGGTGCTGCCTGCGTTGACCCCGATACGAAGTGCCCCACCAACGCCGAGGTCAACATCCAAACTGTCACCGCCCGCCCGCCTGAAGATGCAAGGGGGGGGAATTAAGTCACCCCTGAAAAGACGACCTAGCCATTTTTTCGGGGCTCAAAAAAAAATAAGACCCGGCCTTATTATATGAGAAACACGGTACCAGAGAATGATCTGATTGAGGATCTGATCCAGGGGTCCCAAACCCTTGGGCCTCAAGCCAGGGGTGGGATTCAAACGTTTTAACAACCAGTTCTGTGGGCGTGGCTTAGTGATTGGGTGGGCGTGGCTTCTATTTATTTTATTTTGCAGCACCCCTCCCCTTTATTTTTTTGCCTCCTGGGCCTCAGGTAAGCCTCCTGGGGGGCGGGGCGTTTTGGCTCCCAGAAGGCTTCCCTGGGGCCCAGGGAGGCAAAAGATGGAGCGCGGGGAGGGGGGAGCAGCTTCCCCCACCCACACACCCCTTTTTGCCTCCTGGTCCTCAGGGAAGCTTCCTGGGCGAAGCAGTAAGACAGCGAGGGGGGGGTCCCGGAACAGCTGATAATCGGAACAGCTGATCGTCGGAACAGCTGATCATCAGAACAGCTGATCGTCGGAACAGCTGATCGCCGGGAGGGGGGAAAATAAATACTTTAAGGAGTGATTGGGCAGGGAGGGGTGGGCGGAGAGGGGCAGGGCCAGCCAGGGGCACAATTAGCTGGGACTCGGGAAGCAGAGAATAGATGGGGGTGGGGCCAGTCAGAGGTGGTATTGGCCGGTTCTCCAAACTACTCAAAATTTCCGCTAGTGGTTCTCCAGAACTGGTCAGAATCTACTGAATGCCACCCTCTGCTTTGAAGGTCAACCTCTCTTGGGACACCAGGTTGAGAAAGGTCAGTCAAGGGGCCACGATTTCCCATACTTATACCCGACTTATTATACATTAGAATCCAGGACAGGATTCTAATTTTCCTCAGAATTCCCTAAAGTAATGGAAGGAAAAAAAAATTCAGAGATGGTTTTTGCCCACTGTTATGGAATCAAGTCCAATGTCTATGGAGATTCTCAGCCATCCAGGTCATAGTTGTCCAAAAGGTGCTTTTTTCCAAGAGGCAACTGGACTTTCTGAAGAGTTGAAGAAGCTTCTTGGATGAGAAGCGAAATGTCTTCAAAGAAAAACCAGAAAGTCTACTTGCCTCTTGAAAAAAAAAGCCCCTTTGGGTGAATCAAGTCCAGTTTCCCACCCACCACCTTAGATTCAAATGCTTTGCTTCATCCCTGGATTTCTCCTGTCTCCCAGGGAAGAATGCTCTCCACTGGGCTGCCGCAGTCAACAACGTCCGGGCCTCCCTCATTCTGCTCAGGAACGGAGCTGACAAGGACCTTTTAGACAATCAGGTAATGGGCATTGGCTCACTATCTCACCTGTCTCACTTAGTAGCACGAATTTTGAGCTCCACTGTGGCGGTAAGTCGAGGACTACCTGCATTGACAGCGTTTAGCGAAAACGCCATGCAATAAAATTGCTTGAACTTGAGAGTCAGCAAGTGCGTCATAATTCAAATAATTCATTTATTCCTAACCTGGGCTATTGAAGTTGGGTTTGGTCATCAAGGGTGTGAGACTAACAATGGTCCCAAATCATGCAGGCCTCTCTTACTTAGGAGTAGAATAGAATAGAATAGAATAGAATAGAATAGAATAGAATAGAATAGAATAGAATAGAATAGAATAGAATATAGAATGGAATGGAATGGAATGGAATGGAATGGAATGGAATAGAATAGAATAGAACAGAACAGAACAGAATAGAATAGAACAGAACAGAACAGAACAGAATAGAAGCTGGAAGGCACCTTCGAGGTCTTCTAGTCCAGCCCCCTGCTCTAGGAGGAGAACCTATACCAGGGGTGGGATTCTACCAGTTCGCACCTATTCGCTAGAACCGGTTGTTAACATTCTAAACAGTTCGGCGAACCGGTTGCTAGAAGAAATTACTGGCCTAATCCTGTAAGGAAGGCAGGAAGGAAACATTCTGGTGTTGCTTACAGAAACTGCCTCTCCGATAACCCTTATTACATTCTTGGCAGGACTAGACTTCCTGTCTCTGGAACTTCTCTGGAATTTTTTCCCCCTCCTTTGCTGGTACTTTGCTTGTGTGGAGTGACCATTCAAAGTTACAGTGGCACTGAAAAAAGTGACTTATGACCATTTTTCACACTTACAACAGTTGCAGCATCCCCACAGTCATGAGAGGCCAGGCGAGGAAATGCATGCCTCGATGTGAGTAATATTGAGTTGGTCACGCCCAGCCAATAACATGACCACCAAGCCATGTCCAGCCCACCACCTAAGCCACGACCACAGAACCGGTAGTTAAAAATTTGAATCCCACCCCTGTCCTATACCATTTCAGACAAATGACTGTCTAGTCCCAGTGATGGCGAACCTTTTCAGCACCGAGTGCCCAAACTGGAACATGTGTGCATGTGTGTGTGCTGGAACGCTAGAAAACCAAAGACCAGCTGGCCGATGCATGCATGCCTGTTTTGGGGGCATTTTGGGACGGTTTTTGGACCATTTTCAGGGCATTTTCGGGCCAAAAACGTCCTGAAAACGGCCCCAAAATGGCTTGGAAACCAGGCTGAAAATGCCCAGAAAACCAACTGAAAAGGACCCCCCAAAAACAGCCTGAAAGCAGCACAAAAATGGCCTGAAAACGGCTCAAAAACAGCTTGTTTTTTGGCCAAGGTTTTGGCCATTTCTGGTGCTCTGGCCCCCGTGAAGACCAGATGGCCGGTGTGCCTGTGTGCGCCAGGAACCAGAAGAGCAGCTGGCGATATCACGTGTGCCCACTGAGAGGGCTCTGCGTGCCACTTCTAGCACGCGTGCCATAGGTTCACCATCACGGGTCCAGTCTCTTCTTAAAAGCCTCCAGTGATGAAGCCTCTACAACTTCTGATGGCAAAGCTGTTCCATTGGTTAATTGTCCTAACCGTTAAGTTTCTCCTTCATTCCAGGTTGCTTTGCTCTTTGATTAGTTTCCAACCATTATTTCTCTTGTCTTGCCCTCTGGTGCTTTGGAGAACAATTTGACCCCCTCTTCTTTGGGGCAGACCCTCAAATACTGGAAAACTGCTATCATGTCACCCCTAATTCTTCTTGGTCCCATTTCCCTCTCTGTCTGCAGGCCCAGACCCCTCTGTTCCTGGCTGCCCGTGAGGGAAGCTATCAAGTGGCCTGTCTTCTCCTACAACACGGGGCCAAGCCGAACCTACGGAACCATTCAGGTCGCCTCCCCAAAGACGTGGCCCTGGAGCGTTTGCACCACGACATCCTCTCTCTCCTGGACAGATCCTGCCTCCCTCCTGGGACTGGCCAGCTTTCCCCACACAGGCCTCGCCCACAGCCTTCCTCCAAATTGCACAGGTGGCCATACCCGCCCAAGCCTTCCCAGCTAGCTCCAGTTCCAGAGAACGAGGGACCTTTTAAGGAGGCTACCCCACCAGAAGAGGCCATGGGGCAGGCGGTGGAGTGAATCCTCACCCCCTGCGTGAGGACCCCTGTGGGTCAGCAATGACAGCTTTGGCCAAGGACATAGCTTTCCCCAGCGAAATTTGCAGGACGGTGGCTGGGATTGGTGGAGTATCCAAGGGCAGTGTGGAGAAATGAAGACATTCCAGCAAGTGACCTCAAAAGAGCTCCAGATGTTTCTGCTGTCACATGGGATGCAACATGGCTTGGATCCTAAGGTCATCTTACAAAACCCGATGCGTATAGAGCGCAGGTCATCCCACCTTGTTAGATCTTCCCCAGAACATCTTCCAGATGTGTTGCCCTGGCAAGTAGGATTTCAGCCCATCTGGCAGGGAGAATGGAAAAGACCATCGTACAGCCATTGATTTGAGAGGAAGTCTCTTCAAACTCATTGAGGCTTACTTGGCTGTCTTCCTACAGCTGTCTTCAGAGTTGGTCTCTCTGCAGGGAAGGATTGAATAACCTGGCAATTTAGGCTGCTGAGAATTCTAGAAGCTGAAGTCCAATATATATGGAGGTCATGAAAAGCAGGTGTGGGATGGGAACGGATAATCCCAAAATGGAAGGTTTCATCAAACTTTCCACCGTTTTCCTGATTTGTTAATTCCACCGTGTAGTGTTTTGCAATTCAGCTCACCTTCCACTGAGAACATGTCAGGTGGACTTCTCTAAAGAATGGAATATTGTTACCGATTATACTCATTGTGCAAAAGCCCACAGATATGAAGTAAAGTTATAACTTCCTCCAAACTGAATTCAGTTCCTGGTGATTTCATTTGTATACAAGATTCCTTAGGTGGACACTTTCACCTTAGGTGGGAGTTTTTACCTGTTTTCACAGTAATAACTACACCATCTTCCAATTTACAAACCAGGATGCCAACGTCCTTTTGCAAGCTATCAAGAGAGATAGCAATTGCATTTGAGATGTTGTATCTGGGATGCATCACTAGAGAAAGAAAAAGGCACTCCTAATCCTGCTATATAGGGTTTTAGTCAGACTTCAAGCGTCCAGTTCTGGAGACCACACTTAACAAAAGATTCTGATAAGACTGAGTGAGTCCAGAGACAGGCAACAAAAATGGTGGAAGGTCTGAGGGACAAAATGGTGGAAGGTCTGAGGGACAAAATGGTGGAAGGTCTGAGGGAAGAAGACACGCCACATATCAGGAGAGCTTGGAGGAACTGAATATGTACAGCCTGGAGGACAGGAGGGAAAAGGGGGCGACACATAATGGAAATCTTTAAATATATTAAGGGTGCGAATAAAGTTCTAGAAGGCAGTATTTTCAATATTAAACAATAAATCAAGAACAGGGGGGGGGGGCATGACCTCAAACTGACAGGAGGGGAGTTCAGTAGTAATGTTAGAAAGTATTATGTCACAGAAAGAGGACTGGAAGTTTGGAACTAACTTCCAGGGGAAGTAGTGGGCCAATCATCAGTAACTGAGTTTAAACATGCTTGGGACAAACCCATGTCTTATCATCCAAAAAAAATACAATAATATAAACTAAAATAAAAACAAGTAAAATATTTTTTTAAAAATCAATCAAAAACAATAAGCTAAAAAGCTAAAAAGAAAAACAAACAAACTCAAAGTGTTACCCTGTGGTTAGTTGGGTGGCCATCTTACCACAGGGTACTTCTTTGATAAATTTAATACATAATATTTAATTTAATAAATAAAAATAATACATCGATAAAAGGGCAGACTCAATGGACCGTGTGACGACCCGGGGCATGACACAAGAATAACCAAGTCACAAAAATAGAAGAAAGTCCCTTTAATGCCTCCAACTTGGCCCCAACGTCCAATTATTCTCTGCAGGATATCAAACTCTTAAAGAAAACAGTTTACGGAGGGAGTAACTGCAGTCCGCACCCAAAGTAAAGTTAATTCAAAATAAAAAAACAACAACACAAACCACACTGAAGGAATTACTACGGCAGGCAAGGATGATTAATTGCAGACTTCTACCAGATAATGCAGTAACCACAGTTGGGAGGAAGCCAAAACACAGATAAGCTCCGACAAGAATGCACGCTTTGCTTCCAACCCATTTGCCATGTGTAGTATGTCCTTTTAACCAGTCCTCCCAGCTGCAGCCCATTAAGGGGATCAGGGCCCCTTCCTCCCCCATAGACCACTCCACTCATGTTTCTCCCTTATCCGCTCCTCCCTGCGTGCCCTAGGATGAAGAGGGGATGGGCCTGGATCTTCCTCTGAATGCCCATCTGGCCTGTGCCCTTCCCCAGTTTCCTCTACAACCACCGGAGCCACACTCCCACTCTCTGTCAGCTGTTCCATCTCTCCCTCGGAGTCAGACTCCAACAGAGGCATGACAGACCGCTAGGTCTTTTTCTGCCGTCGGTTTTCTAGGTTTCAATGTTTCAGATATTGGGGAGGATTATGGGAGGAAAATTTTACATCTAGCTGTAGGGTTGTAAGGCTCAGCATGCTGACAGCAACACACACTGGGAGACTTGTAGTATGTTAAAAAAAATGCACACAAAAACTACAGATTTATTGTGGCAGGGGCTTATGAAAGACAGCTTTTCCCCCATTATAAATAGTCGTAGGTCCACTCAGCATCTTGCAGCTACCGTTCTAGGCCAACCAGGCAAATGGGAGTGATGCCAAAAAACAGGAACATCGTCCCGAGGGGCGAACTTTTGGGATATTTCCATGTTTCTCCTCAAAGGAAAAGCCCAAGTCACCCAGGGCCTTGGAAACAAGAAGGACAGATTGGGTCACACCAGCCACCAGAAGCGGACGTAGAGCAGAAGCACCATGAAGATGAGGCCAGTGGCGGCAGCTTTGGCATAGGCGGAGCGGCTGTTGAGGAACTTGGCATCATGGCGGTATTTCTTGGAGAGGGTGGACAAGTTGCTGGCTTTGGAGTCCAGAGCTGAAGAAAGAGAGAAAAGAAAGAAAAACACAATTGCCTCAGTTGTCCTCCTATTCATCCTTGCCAGGAAAAGATGCTGCGGGTTCCCCACTTCTGGGGGCTCGAGGAAGAGGAAGGGGGGCAAGGCTTAGAAAGGGAGCTGTTCAAGAGAAGCGTCAGCCATTTTGAATGGCCTCCTCAGAACAAATTTGATGGCCTCTTTTTTATAGTAATTTTATTCAAAATGACAATTAAATGACAATTCAAAAGATAAAAACTAATACGGGCAGTCCTTGGCTTTAAACTGTCAGGATTCCAGCAGTTACCCCAATTAAATCATGAGTCTGGAGCCAAACTTCCAAAACTTCAAAAGGATTTATTGGGAGTTAACATGCCCAGCACTGCCTGGGTGTAGCCAACTCTGAGGCACATCATTCATTGTCACCCTTGACCCTGGTTTCCCCCCCACCCCCTGGGTGTATCGTAATTCATATTCTCCAATGGGACACATCCATAGCCAAGAGTCATCAGTCATGCTCTCCAGTTAGAATTTTGCGTGGCAGAAACTTCAGTCAACTAGTTACTGTCTCTGAAAAACTATTTATGGAATGTACTTTTGGTTTCCAAACAAACCCCTTTCCCCCTTCCCTTTCTGTTGGCAACTCTAAAAATAGCCAGAGAAATATTTTATGAGTTGACAAGTTCATTTAGTGACCAAAGTTACAACGGCACTGAAGAAAGTGACGCATATTGCAGAATCCAGATGAAAAGATGTAATGATTATTATTGTAACTACTAAAAAATAAAGGTTTATTGGGAATTAAGATGAGGGAATAAAGGTATATTTTAACCACTGAGATGTCACGCTCAAAGCACTAAAAGGGGGGAAACCTATGTTTGTTTCTTTTTCTTTTGTGTTAAAACTTGTATTAATCTAGAATTTATAGAAAGAATGTGTGATGGAAAGAAAATATGACAGATTAAAGAACTATTTAAATTAATAAGCTAATACAGACTATTAAAAGGAAGGAGAGACATTGGTAACTTTTTTTTTATTAGGCGAACATATATTGTTTTTTGTTTTTTTTTAAATCAAAGGATTATATTTGAAATAATTGAAATGAAATGAAAGGATGTTTGGGTTGAGATTAATCTAAGAGACTAGGATTAAATTGCTTGTTTCTCTCCTTTCTGAAAGTTTGGAATGGAAAAGATAATAATAGAATTAAGTATGCATATATGAATCTATAACTATTGTCATATTTGTATGTAAAAGTGATGACCCGGAAATATGCTGCCCACTAAAAAGAGCTTTTTGTTTTTATGTGAAAAACTGAATAAAATTTGTTTAAAAAAAAAAGATGGCCAAGATACTCTTCCCGTGGGTCTCCCTCCTCTACCTGATAAGGTCTCCCCTCTTTGGAGGACTTCTTCAATGTTGGTCACCATGATCTTCTGAACGTCCTGGAGCTCCGTATTGATGCTACTTAGGTGGCGCTTTGACCAAGTGTCCAGGTAGGATTTCTTCAGCTTCTGGATGTAAATGTCTGATAAGGAAAAATAAGACAATTCATATTCAGCATTTTGTTCCATCTAGATCAGTCTTCTACAACCTGGTACCCCAAACTCTTCCGAACCCACCACGGCACGTGAGATTCCTTACTCAGCCCTGATCCAACCTTGCATTCCTGTCACCACAAAGAGCAATGGATTCTCATTTCATTTGTTAGACTTTTAAGCTTCTAAAATCTGACAGTGTTAGCAATAGAATAACAACAATATAAATTAAAAGAAGTAAAACTGTAAACCAGGGGTGTCAAACTCGGCCAGTTTTGGCCCGCTGCCCTGGAAACAGTGAAAGACCAGGCCGTGATGCCTCTGCCAGCAAAAACAGAGCTTGGGAAGGTTGTTTTCACTGGCACAGGGTTGCAGGAGGCTGTCGCAACCAAAAACGGAGTTTGGGAGCCCATTTTCGCTGGTAGAGTACTTAAGACCTGTTTCTGGCAATAGATCCCATCATAAAGAGGCCTGCAGCGTGACCTCTCTGGGCACCAGGGTATCTATCCCCCTCTTAAAGATCTGGCTGAGGAATTCTGGGAGTTGAAGTCCGCACATCTTAAAGTTACCAGTTTGAGAAATTCTTTTTTTTTTAAATAAAAGTTTTTTATTTTTATCACAACAAAAACAAACATAAAACCTTCTTTCTGTTCCATAGTGTGTTAGTTGAGTACATATTTCTTCATGCACAAAATAATATCATACATATTTAACTTGTATATATTTATAATTGTTCTTATCAATATTTTATATCACATTTGTCACTTATTCTATTATCCTTAACTTTTAAGTCCTTAACTTTCAATAATATATTTCAAGTTCATTTTCTTATTCTATCTAACTCATCTATTTATCAGTAACAATATGTTATACTATACTTATATAATTCAATTCTTTACTCTTCTATCCAACCATTCATAAAAT